GGCTGCTGGGTGGGGGTGGCTAAAGCTGGAAGGCCCTTGAGCGCCCAGGCCGGTATCTCTTGTAGATTCACCCCACCGGGAAGTTTTTCGTGCTTTCGGATGGAGAAGGGAAACACACGACGGTGGAGCTGATGGAGCCTGTGAGTGGAAGGAAGGCTTTGGAAAGGCTTGCTGTTGCCTCTGGTGGGGGCTGGAGGGTTCTGAACCCTGGGTATTGAGCTTTTAGTCGGGGCGGGGGAGAAAAAATCTCTGCTCTTTTCCTGAGGTTTTGTCCCTTCTGAAACCTGTGCGTGCCTTGGAAAAAAAAAAAAAATAATCCCTGGTTTATCCGTTTTCCACCCATGTTTTCTTGCCTCCGCTTCTTGCGGCTTCCAGCTGATCTGCAGGCTTGATGTTCATCAGTTTTCAGCTGGTGTTAATAAAACTTATTCCTTGTCAGACACAGCCCCTCCTGCCTGCTTTATCTTACTCTGTTCGTTGCTTACAGTGGGATATATTTCACTACATGTGTTAGCGTTATTTTAATGTTGCTTTTCCCTCCCTTTTTCCTGCGCCCCTCCTGCCTGCTTTATCTTACTCTGTTCATTGCTTACAGCGTGATATATTTCACTACGTGTGTTAGCGTTATTTTAATGTTGCCTTTTCCCTCCCTTTTTCCTGGCAGTTTTCAGCTGGTGTTAATAAAACTTATTCCTTGTCAGACACAGCCCCTCCTGCCTGCTTTATCTTACTCTGTTCGTTGCTTACAGTGGGATATATTTCACTACATGTGTTAGCGTTATTTTAATGTTGCTTTTCCCTCCCTTTTTCCTGCTGCCGTTATATGCCTAACAGAATATTTTGTCAAGATAATACAAAAAACCCAAGCATATAATGTTCTCAAGAGATTTTTGAGTTGACATTTCAGTATCCTCTTAGAACATTTGCCATAGCATTCCAGTGGACTTCATAGTTAGCTTAAAGCTTCCTTTCTAAAAAAATAAAAAATCAAGCAATTAATGCAGTGAGTATAAGGTATGCTTATAACTACTGCACAAAAATCCTGCTTCCTTAGTCATCACGTACTGCTAAAGGAGTAACGCCCTGGCATTCTCTTGAGTCTTTTTTTTTTTTTTTTTTTTTCCCCTCTAGCAAATGTTGTAATTAAAGGATTATTTTCATTGTGATGGCAAATGCTCTGGCTCAACTGAGCACGTGTGTGGGTTTTGCATCTTTTTGTCTGAATGAGTTGTTAAACACTGAGAAACTTCACCCGTTCCGTGTGAAATAACTGCACATGGTACTCTCTGACTTTCAAGACAGGAGTCTCTCTCCTTGTTGGTGAAAAATTCAGTTTGATCTGGAAAAGACTTTTGTCTTGTGAGCGTGAAGCTTGCAGACTTCATGTTCTGCAGGTCCTGCCTGTCTCTTCACTCTTTCTTGAGTTTGTGAAGAGGTTTCCTGCCTTGGGCTGTTAAAAGCTCAGGTGCCGCCATCTGACCAAGGATTCCACAACTTCCCACCAGTGAGTGAGTGGCTGAATTCCGTAGACACGTAGCTGGGACACCGGGCGCTGCACAGCCTGTGTTCCACGACTGTGGGCAGAAAACCACACCAGGTTCATCTCTCTGGTTTGCCTGACATCAATGGAGGAACTTCTAGGTTTCTAACCAAAATGCTTTCTAACTTTTTTTTCCCTTTAATAGATTCCCTTTTTTCGCATGTGTGTAGTTCCCCCCCTTCAATAGAGAAACGCAAAATTACGGGGAATCTGTTCCAGGAGACGTACTAGAAAGTTAAAAGTAGGAGTTAGATATTGGCAGAACATTACTGAAATAGCACTGCAGTCTTAAAAATAGTGTCTTAAAAAAGAAAGCAAGCATGATCAAGCTATATGATTTTGAAGTAAGATAAAGTTTTAGCCTTTTTTTTTTTTTTTTTCCCCTTGTTCAACCGAAGGGTGGTGGTTGTCAGTGTCTCTGTATCCTGAACGCTTACTGACAGATTACTTAAGAAATCATTTGCAGTTACACCTCTACAATACTGGAACCACTCTCTGGCCAGTGTGTGGCCTCCTTAGCTCTCAGAGTTCTGTAACTTACTCAGGTTTGAATGCAGTGCGTTAAAATTCTCCTGCTCCCTGTGCCCTGGGTTAGTCTCTGTTTGGTGATGAAATGACAGAGTTTTATACACTTATAAACCGGTACCTTCCCTCTGATGCTTCTTTGTGTATTTTTTTGTGTTGGTACCAAATTGGCCACTTCAAACCTGGTAAATCCATAAGTGGCTCAAGGCTTTTGTGGGTTTTTTTGGGAGGGGGCCAGGGCTGTTCAGCGGCGCTGTATTGGAGCAGAACCTGCCCTGAACAAACCGTCCCTTGTGGAGAGTCCCTAGCTGAAGTGCAGCGCGGCGGAGACAGCAGCCGGTGTCGTGACGCTGACTTCCTATTCGGTGTGATTCCTAGCTAGACGAAGAGATCTCGGGAGTTCTGGAAGTAGTGGGAAGAGTGACGAATCAGGCGACCATCATGTGCGTGTCGTACGTCCAGTTCAGAGAAGACAAAAGTCCCTTTGGTAAGTGGGAATGTCGATTGTGACAGGTTCATGTTGAGCTCGCCGAGTGAGGAGAGCCTGAGCCCCGCTTCTAAAGGACGAGGTCTTTCTTCAAGCTGCTGGATACGGAGTAGAGTGTAGAAAAGGAGAAAATTCTACTGGTTTACTGTCAAACTGTAGGGACTGACTCGAGGCTGGAGCTGCTCTAGATCATTGCCATGGTCTGGTCATTCCCCCACTCCTGACCGTGCGGGTCTTGCCTCGCACTGGCCTTTGTGTGACTGTGTAGCTGACTGGGCCTAAAAACCACCCGCTGGGAAGCGAGCAGTGAGGGCGTGGCTGCCCCGGGGAAACTGGGGAGAGTGGGGGAGACTGGGAGCTGCTTTAAAACGAGCAGTGCTTTAATGCTGTCGTTTGCTTGTGGGAAGTCGGCTTATGCACTGTAACCGCTTTCTTTGCCCTCTTTCAGATCTGGAACTTTACAATGAAGCACTAAAAATTATCCATGAATTCCCTGAATACTTCCCGTTCGGTGCTGGGAGGAACAATTGATTTTTCTCAGCGTGTCTTTTAGAGCTTTGGAGGCGACAACAGCGTGAGAACAGTCGCACTGATTTCCAACAAATGCACTGAAAAGGCGCCGTTGCGTGTGCCGTGCGTTGCCAGCGGAGGATGTTTTCTTTGGAAATGTCTTTGTTCGGGAAGGAGGAGAACACTTCTGCGGGTACCTAGCTGGCTGTGCGTGTTTAACCCCTTTGCGTCCGTCAGGAGTGTTCATTTGCAGACTGGACTTGCTGAAAACTGTGGAGTTTTGTAGGTGCCTTTTTGTGGGCTGTACCGGAAAGTCGTATAAAAGCCGTGTGGCAGGGCTTTAATGTCAAGGTTCTTTTTTCTTCATTTGCTTCGATACGCATTTAGTGAACGTGGGGGGTGTTGGGCATCTTGAAAACGGTCTCTTCTCCGATAAAACAGACCTGCCTGCCCCGAGCTGTTGGCGTCGGCGTTACGGCTCAGTGCTGTTGGCAGCGATGCACGGTGGCCACGGGGAGTTTCCCCGAGGGGAGTCCGAGGCGCTTGCGTTCCACGCTGATGTTCCACGCTTGGAAGAGGACTGGTTAGGATATTGCAAAGTAGTTCCAACAAACCTTAGCCACGTTCGCTAACCTCTCATGCGAGCAGGGTTCGGGTTTAATCGCTCTGTGCGGAGCCTTGCTAAGAGCACTAGCTCTGTGCTGATTTATAGACCCCTCCCTTCTCAGTCAAGGGATTTATGGTTTAAAGACTTGGGATTTATCAAAGTTACTACAGACTGGGCAGGAGATCAAGGGAATGGGTGATCTGGTTTTTTCCCCCCTCTCTGCTTCGATGGTGACAAAGTGGCTGTGGCTGGGAAGCAGGAGGGCTCCCGAGGCGGGAGTCAAGTCTCCTGTGGGCAGGTTCTCCTGGCACTCGAGTCTCCTGTGCCACTCTGCTTGAGGAAATCAGTGGTTTGTGCACGTACGTGTGTTTTGTGCCACGTTGTGCAGTGACCGGGGCTGTCCAGGCCTCGGGAAACAGCCTGTGCTGGATGGCTGTCGCAGTGTCCCCCCCGCACAGAGACCACCCGTGGGTCTGTGCTCCTGTCTGACCTCATCCCAGTGGGAAATGCTATCTTTTCCCTCCATCAGCCCAGGCTTTTGGTGTCACCCTGGTCCCACAGGGCTGGGCAGGTGGGGGCAGCTCCAAGGTGCTGTTCGTCCCTCTGCTATAACCAGGTGAAGGGGGGAGAAGCTGCCAGGCCTCCTGCATCATAAACCAGGGAATTGTGGCTTTGGGGGGCACTGACTGAAGGGAAGTAACCCCTGAACACCAGAGAGGGGGGTCACCCAACCCCCAAGGGTATGAATAGGAGCTGGTGGCTTCTTTGGGAGGGCATGAGGGTGGGAAATTGGGGTGTGAATTGAAGGATGGAGACGGGGACTGGGATGAAGTAAAGGATGCAACTGGGGCCGACTGGAAGAGGTTTCTCATTTGGAGCAGGAGAGCGAGCCTGCTGCTCCCACCACGCTTGGGACGGACTTGTGGGACCTCGCACCTTCTCCCTGCCCTGCGTGGGGCTATCCTTTTTCTTCAAAGAGAAGGAATCACCCCCAAAATCGCAGCTTTATTAATTAAAAGCAAAACAAGGAAAACATCCCATCACTAAAAACCGCACACTCACTTGGTAAATTTTGCAACTGGTGTAATTACTGCCCTGAAAGCCCAAATACCAATTAAACAGCCCAAACTGATCCTTACTGTGCCAGAATACGCGCACGTTCCTAATCCAAAGCATTTCAAGGACATGCCGAGTATCAAAGTAAGCATCTAATTTAATGAAATTATAGAATTTGACACAAACAGGTATAGTCAAGTCAAAAATGTTATAAACACATTTTCTTGAGGCAAGAAAAGGAGACATTGTAAGTTAATATAGTTGTATTCACCCAGACCTGGAATTTATCAGGAAAAGTTACTGAACATTGTTACTAGAGGAAGAAAAATGTATCCTCGTCACTTACAAATCCTCGTTGCTGTAACAAAAGTTTTATTGCCTGTGTTTGTAGCAGTAAGGTATCCCATTAAACCCCGGGGTGCATTTATAAACAGAATGTTTTGAAGAGCTCTTCAACAGCAACAGGAACTGTGCAAAAACACCAGAAAGAGAAATAAATATTCTAACAAGAAAAAACAACAACAACTGCTCTCCCCTGCCTACAAAGTACCTCTTAGATTTTTAACTTTAAAAAAAAGATCTTTGTCAATTATGCCAGAATTTTAGGTCAGAACCAACGAAAAAGATCTTTGTCAATTATGCCAGAATTTTTGATCAGAACCAACAGAGCAGATGTATTACAACGTTAATGCTACATCACAAAATAGAACCCAAAGTCTCCACTGTAATCATGGACATGTACAGAAAACGTTTCCACCTTCTACCTTGCGGCAACGACACTCGAGCACTGAGCACTGGTGCTATATTACAACAGAGTCTCTTTTAAAACACCCATTTCCAAAGTCCTGGCAAGAGGGTACCAGTTTGTTGCTAGCCTTCCAGTTAGTACTTCACAGCACGCAAGGGCTGAGCAACTCAGACTGTTTTCTGCTACTACACCAAGTAAACTGATGTCGTTCCCACATACCTTTAAACAGGTTTGGGGTTTTTTCCCCCCTAATTCGTGTGAATTTTGTTGCCTACAAAGTCAAGGACAACAATACCCATCAGCTCCCGGCGTGGAATTGGCAAATACCCTTGACTCTGAGTTCATAAATGATCTTCATTCCGGCTGGTTGCCCACCCACAAGCCCCCTCTGGTCAGGCCTCACGCCCAGCAGCCTTTGGGGAGCAGACGGGGCTCCGCTGGTGACCCCAAGCGGGGTTTACAGAGGTTGCTTTCACACTGCCCAGCCTATGTCCAAAGCCCAGGGAAATGCCGATTATCCAAAAATCTTCTGGTGTTCTCGTAGTCAAAACTCAGCCCGCAGTTTAAAAACGGAACTATTTCCAAGTCTCCGGTCCTTGGGATGTCAGAGCTTCACAGTACTACGTTAAACGCTCATCAGTCCAGTGAAACCTCCGGTAGTTTACCTGCGCTCTCCGCCGGGACGGACGCGTGACTCCTCGGGGAACTCCGCTCCAGGAGACAACCCCCCCAGTTGTTCAGCGTTACCATCCCCCCCACGAGGCGTGGAGGTAAACTAAGACCTTGAATCGCAAAAAGATGCTGCTTTACTATTAACAAAGCTTGGGAACAGAAAGGGGCTCGTCTTTAAAGTCAAACTCTTTAGAACACAGTTAACAGTGGCACTTGAACAGACTTCCGAGGAAGCGATCCTTTGCCTACAAGGGGGATCAAACCGAGCAGAGCAAGCCGCAGCGTTGCTTTGCCACCTGCTGAAGAACACTGCTCAGGGGTTTACCTGAAGGTCCACTTTCCAGCACATAAACACTGTTTTCTCTGGGAAACAAAGAAAAGGGCTGAGCAGCATTACCCTGAACACTGCATTAACAGTTCCTTGGATTTGCTAAAATCCAGAGTCCACAATTCCAGGAGCACTTCCGACCGAACCACTTCGATCCCCTCAACGAGGACCACGTGGCACCCCGAGGCTCCTTCCAGCACTACCTGTTGCCACCACGCACGGTCGCACACACGGAGTTTTACTAATCCGACGGCAATGGATTTTTTTTTCACAGTCAGGAAGTCACGAGTGACCTTTGTCTAAACCAGCCGCTCGGACCACGAGGGACATCCATCGGGGAGCCCCACGTTTCCAAACCATGCCTACGCCTGGACAGTCTCTGCTGGAATGAGGTTCCCTGTTGTATCCAGCTGCATGCACTTACAGGAGCAGGCGGAAACCGGGCACTCGGTGTGGTCCCTAGGGAGCAACAGCAGATAAAAAGGAAAAAAAAAAGGTAAAATACGACTATCGAGAACTTTGTCATCTATACATTTGAGCACGTGAGGGGACAAAGTATCTCAGAAGAGCTCAGCACCGTAGTTAAGCCTTGTGCGCGTCCCAAACCAACGCGACGCCGGCAGAGCGAGGGAGGCGCGGCCTACTCGGCGCAGCACACGCGTGTGACATGGGGAAGACGGTCACGTCCCCTTACCTGAACCAGCTAAGCATGTGCCCAGCGTGTCCGCCGTGCCTGCAGTTGTGGCACCAAGTAAACCAGTTGTTGAACTGGGCCAGCTTCTTGTCCTTGCTGAGATCCACTTTTTCATCCGACTTGGATCCTCCTGCGCCGAGGCAAACCCACCCCCACAAATACGCTTGTAAATCATTATGTTCATTTACATTCCAGTCCCTGTAACTCTATCGGAATAAATTTGAAATTAGGAACGTTACGGGAGGAGGCAGCCTGGTTTTAAAAGAGAAGTCAGTAAAACTAAGAACGGGTGGAATGCCAAAACAAGAATTACATTGCTGAGCTGTTACTTCACATCTTGGGGACACGCTAAACTTGCCTATTAAACACATTTTACAGACAGAATCTCTTTCAGCAGTGATTTTGTGTTTCAGGGATTGGTTTATGTTGAATCATGGGCCTGATGAAATGTTCTGCTTCGGAAAAATTAACAAAATCTAAGTTAGGAATTGGAACAATTACAATCTAGACGTCACGACGGATCAGTGAGGGAAGAGCTATATAAATAGATGACAACGGCACAGCTGCTCACAGCTCTCTAACAAATCTAACATACAGACAAAATCAGTTTCATTTAGACCTTGCAGAATGCTGAGCCCAAGACATTTGGAACCAAAAGATTCTAGTCGCAGTATTTCTTAGCTGCGACAGCGCGACCCATGCAGTCCTTCACACCTGGTGACAGAAAGTCTACCACGTTCAATTTATTCCCTCTTCCAGCTAAAAACCAATTAATTTACAGTCCAAGATTTCCGTGGCGTCCCATCTCAAGCAAACACGCTTCCCATTTCATACAGTTTTAAAGCTCGCGGTGCTGACCACCGCGGTGCTCGAGTCCTTTCACCTGTCCAATGACAATCTCACTGGGAAAAATGCC